GCAACTTAGGTAACACTGTAAGTCTGAGTTTTCACCAAATCCCACGCGTACTGTTCTCATTTATGCATCTTTCTATCTCTCTTTCCCTTTCTCTTAAACATTTTAACTGGAATTTTATCGTTTCCGGAGTTCATTTCCGCTTATTGTGGAGATAGTTCCCTCATATGGGTTTACATAGTTTTTTGCGTAGATTTCGTTCCTTTCAGAAAGGCATCTCGTCTTTATCTTTTGATACAAGTAAATTATCCCAAATGTTATTCTTTTCACCTCAACCCACAGGGCAGCGTTAGGTGTCTTTCGACCCCTTTTTGGCTCGTTAAGGTACAAGTTCTAGCGCTGGATGTTTGGTTCCGGGAGTTGCCTTTTTGCTTCTCTGATACCCATTCTCATTTGGAAATGTGAACTAAATGACTAGACGAGGTAAAAGTTAGTGACTCGTAGGGACAGAACCAAAATGCAAAAGTGGAGTTAATTTCGTAATCTTTATCTCCAAGAAGCTGATCCTTGCTCACGTCCTATTTTATTGAGTTGCATAAAAATGAATAAATACTGAATAGTAAAAAATAACAGTGCTTATTGCGTTTTCCATTCGTGTGTAATACTCTAGTAAGTCTAGCAGACAGAAGAATGCCTGAGGTGTCTATGATGGACTGGTCCATGCAATTATTAGGTACGAATTCAAGCTTATTTTGCTTTCTGGAAAAGTATGTTCTTTCCTTGTGCCAAGAAGAATGCTTCTCGCGTCGTTAGCGATAGGTTGGCCATGAGCTACAAAATTTGATCATGCTCACATGTGTTATCAGGATCAACGCTCATGTTATACAAATAGAGGAACGTTCTTCTGCAGTATGATGCTGTCTACACGAGCGTCAGTGATTAATGGTGCACTCAAAACAATACTTCACCACTGACCGTCAGATTGGCCGTTCACACAATTGTATGGCCTCGCAAACTATCGGGCGTTAATACATCTTGAAAATTGCAGTTGGCAGAGGTTTTTCTCGCGCGAAATTCTTTCCACCTATGGTCATCTGGGCAGACGCCATCACCTGGTCCACAGTAAATGTCTCATCACAGAAGCGGATGCTTTCTTGGAGTGAAGATTGCTCATCAATATATCCAGTAGCAAATAGCAACCGTTCGGCAACGTTAGGTTATGTAAGTGCCCTTAGCCACCACTAACAGCGGGAGCCTTTAAAACGAGAATAGGGGGTAATGGGCGCATTAAGAGTGGGTTCTCCGCAGACAAGGATGGAAGTGGGTCAGTAAGCATTGAAAAATCTATAACTTTCCGCCAAACTTATTCTTCTAGGGCTATATATATATACCAAAAATCAAGGGTGATATTCAAAAAAACAACTCTCAATAAATAGATGGAATTCAAATAAGAAAAAAACAGAAGAAAACGACTTTTTTTGTGCCGTTACATGAATGTGGTGGTTAAAACTCAGAGGATTTATCCCCCCAACCATGGACTAATAATGAACCAAACTAGGCCAGACTACTTATTCTAAACCCCGAAGCTAATAAAACTTATCTTCACCAATCACTCTGTACCCAATGTTCGGCAAAAAATTGGAATAGGAACCTATTTCGAAGGAGTTGCGTTAAGTTCCAACATGATTAGGCTTTCTGCGAAGGTTAGGCTTATTTTTATAGGTATAATTAAAGGCTAGGGTTAGGGTTGAGTTTAGAGTTAGGTTTAAAGTTAAATTTAGGCCTTGTTTTAAGGTATTGAGTCTAATCACTGTTGCAACTATGGTAAGGTTCTGAGAAAATTCCCCTTTCCTTGAATTTTACACATAGCTGTCTGTATTATTGGAGCAGGGGTTTCTATTCCTGTGTCTCTCCGAGTTTCTCGCTCAAAACCGGCTTTATCATTGCCTTTTGGAGATGATGCTCAATGGAAAATAGGTACTCGGGTCTCGACGGGCCTATATTGACGGAGTTAAATCCAACTAAAATCGTCGTTTGTTTTGCTTGTGTGCCGTTCTGACCGTCTTTCTCATTTCTAGAGACTGCTGATGTACTTATAATTCTAATATTGAAAATGCTCGCCATCGACTCATGTGGCAGTCCTTCGGCTCTGTGCGCATGCCTTCAAGGTCGACGACAGTCAAGTGTTCTGTCAAAATTTGTTATTGCAGAGCACAATAGAGCACAGTGACAGAATGTCACGGGCACTCCTTATATATGTGTGTGTTTATGCTTTTTAACTGTCAACGTGGTAAGGTAAAGAACAGTCAAATGAGTTTCTGAGTGCGTTTTACGACAATGCAGTCTATCCGTTTGCAAATAAGAATTTTTAAAACTGCATCGATTCCTCGCTTGAAAAACGAGGACACCAATCGGTTCTAGAAGGGACTTGGTGTTAACCTTTCACCCTTTCATGAATACTCGCTTACAGCAAAACGCACCCTCAGCAAGGACCCTTGACTTTTTATGTCCGAAAATGTAGGTAGTAGGTTGTGCGTCAGGAATATTTCTTTCACAAAACAAAATTGCCTTCAAAAAGGGCCTTCTGTTGCTCAAATTGATCGATTAAATAACACCCAGATGCATGCCTTTCTGCTCATTCAAATTGCGGTTACTTTGTTTCACGAGTATGCGTCTAAATGCCATTAATCTGCACCATTCCTTGTTTACAGACCCCAAAGCTACGGGGATAGACTGTACGAACCGCTGACATAGATGCCATTTTAACTGTACTATTTCATGCCTACAAACTGTCTTAGACATTTACTTTAGGCTAGGAAGACTTATTGGTCTTTCCCTAAGAGCCCTATTTTATTTCATCTTAGCGCTCAAGTTGTTAAAACAGCCTTATTACTTATTCCACGCGTTCCGACGCAGGATGAACTTAACTGAAGTATTTCAGATGAGCTCAGCTTTGATATTCCTACGGTTGTCGCGTATTTGACTATGATTTTATATAACTGGATGGTAGGGGTTTGGCAGATTTCAATAATCCGATTGGCCCAGTTGTGAAAAATCCGCGGCATCGGTGAGAGTCAAACCCACACAGCAGAGAAGGCTTCTGCGCAGCCAACGCTCTACCATTTGAGTTACGAGGCTCACGGAGGCCGCGCACTTTTCACAATTGGGTCGATCGAACTGGATAGTATATCCAGGCAGACAATGTCGCTTGGAATAATCTGCGCGCAAGCAGACCGTTTCCGCATTCGGTGCTTAGCGGCTACACGGTTATGTTGACAAACATGAGGACTTTTCACAATATGTAGACTGCCGTACAGAAGTACTACGGAAAATAAAATCTCCTATTCATGGTTCCAAAGTAACTTCCGCAGCGCATGTTGATTGTTTTTAAAAGCTGCTTCTTAAATGCAAAATATTATTTAAAAACGGTGCTTTTTCATAGCTGGCTATTGCCCTGCGTACTTAATGGATTTTTTTCATAACAGGGGTCGCTCTTGACTGTTTATTAGTTTACTGTTGATAGAGTAGATTGCATCTTTTGCAGTTTGCTACAGTTCATAGATCAGTTGGCCACCTTAACGATCCTCTGTATCCAATCGTGTAGTCTACGCTCATTCTTTCACGCCGGCCTTGCGGGTCGTTTTTCCCCCTCAAAGCCCTGCGCTAGCCCCTGCAGCGACTGTGGCTTAGCAGATGTTTGGATGCGGTAAATTGCTGTTTTACCACCAAAAGGAGCACATCCGCGAAAAACAGTTGTCGGCTTTATATATCCTCGGTCTCACTAATATATTCTGGCTCGTTACTGACAGCCAGCGCGTCATCTGTCACCCCACGTGAGGCGGCAGTTGGCGCGCTAAGGGGCGTTTCTGCGCGCCACATTTTTCCTTCTTCTCCTCCCTTCGCTCTGCTGCCACTGCCACCTTTTAACACGCCAGCACTAGGATAGTCGCCAATAGATCCTCTCCTTTCGTTTCAATTGTAAATCCTCCCCCCGTGTTCACTCCCCTCAATCCTAGTGCTTCATGAACTCGGTGCTCCAGTGCCTTAGCAACACTCAGGCCCTTGCTGAAGCCTGCCTTGACAGGTCGTACACGCGAGACTTGAACGAGGGCAGCAGTATGCGCGGAAGATTATTTGAAGGTGAGTCGTTTTTATCATATCAGCGCCTTATGTGTTCTGTATTATGCACCTGTCCGTTGCGAACGTTTTCGTTTATGCTTGATAGACGACGATCGCATGTGGATATACAGTTAGTTGTTTAGAATGGGCGCGAATCGTCAGTAAGCCGTGCAGTCAGACAACCGTCCGGATCCACATGGCTGTTGGTGTTATTTGCGTTAGAGTAGGAGATAAGCTGTTTTCGTTCAATTCAGTAACTACGGCCACGTTTTTAAATTTTTGATAGCAGGATGTACGAATTGCTGGAAAGTCCTCACTTCCGGCCGGTGGGCCATTACAACCCCAATTAAAACTCGCTTGAATCGCGAGTTTTCCAGATACGCCAGCAATGTAGGGTAGAGCAAGCAAAAACTTTGTTTTTCGCTTCTTGTTTGTCCTTTTAATTTAGTGAGAAGTTGGCGCATGCACTTGGGGCCAGCTGCTCAGGATACGCACTCTGGTTGTCAGTTTTGACGATGGAAAAGTGGGTACCCGGTCAAATTTTCCCACCCTCTGTTTCAGCTAGAAGTGTTTGTGCCATGTCTATCCTCATACGTTATCATAAGAGCAGGCAAAACCCAAGCAAGAACCTTTAAATTTGCAGCCATTACCATAGTGAATCATTGAAAGTACCAGTTGAGGTATCTGCACCCTTTGTTTGTTGTTGTATGCCTGTTTTGGCTTTAACGAGAAAGAGTGCACGTTGATTGACAATTATTTTGAGCATTTGGCCCGACAAGAACTAGCCTTTCCAATAAATGCAAATCACAATTATGTTCGCCTGGCGCATCCTCAACAGCGCGTTCTTGTCTGCGTACCTTTTAGCATATGCTGACCTGATGCGGCAAATATGGGAGCCCACAAGTGGTCCCCAGACATACGTCAGTCCGCAACGCTTCAAAGCTCAGGTCCAAAAATTTGCTCCACGTTTCATGGGCTATGCGTAAGTCTCAGATTTTCTT